GGGGGCCGCGGGCGGGGCGGGGCGGGGGGCCGCCGCCGGGGCGCAGACTACAGCTGAGCCCCTGCGGTGGGTCTGCAGCGGAGGCCTCAGTAACCTGCTCTTCCGCTGCTCGCTCCCGGACCACCTGCCCAGCGTTGGTGAGGAACCCCGGGAGGTGCTGCTACGGCTGTATGGGGCCATCCTTCAGGTGCGGGGGAGTGAGGGCTGCAGCGGCCAGTGGCTTAGGGTTTCTCACTTAAGTGGTGCAGGTAGGACTGTCCCCTCTGCGCAGTTGAGGACACCGAGGCTCGTGATCTAAGTAACTTGTACCGTGTCATACTAAAGCCTGTGCTCCAGAGCTTCCAGAAGTCCCAGCTGTGGTGGGTGGAGCAAGCGGACCTTCTTGTGTGTGCCAATACCGCTTTGCTTCTGGCCCCTCCTGACTTCGGCCCCTTTTACTATCCACCTTCTTTCAGGGCGTGGATTCGCTGGTCCTCGAAAGCGTGATGTTTGCCATCCTTGCAGAGCGGTCACTGGGGCCCCAGCTTTACGGAGTCTTTCCAGAGGGCCGGCTGGAACAGTACATCCCAGTACGAGCCCAGCCCGGCCCTCTCCTCCCCCAATCCCCACGCCCCTCCCCAATGTGTGTCTTCACATCCCTCACCCCAGGTAGGGAGTTTTGCCCAAGACCCTGACCTCCTGCCCCTTCCCCTACCCCTTCCCCCTCCTGCACCAGCCCCCTCACCACCCTGATAGGTTCCTGGGTGCAGAGCCGGCCACTGAAAACTCGAGAACTCCAAGAGCCAGTGTTGTCAGCAGCCATCGCTATGAAGATGGCCAGGTTCCATGGCATGGAGATGCCTTTCACCAAGGAGCCCCACTGGCTGTTTGGGACCATGGAGCGGTGAGTCAGGGGCCTCCTCAGTGCTTTTGCACACCTGAGCTGAACTCTTGTGCTGGCAGTTACCATACTGATCTGTGATCAGATGTGCCCATGGCTCTGTCCAGACTTCCATTGGGTGGATTTGGTGTCCCAGTGTCTCTCATGGGCTCTCACAAAACAGGCTTCCATATGTTTGCCAGACAAGTCATACTGTGACAGGAAGATGGATGAGATAGTCTGGTGTGAGAAGATGGAGGGCAGGGGATAGCAGCGTGAGTGTATCCTATTCTTGGGGCTTCAGGTACCTAAAGCAGATCCAGGACCTGCCCCCCACTGACCTCCCCCAGATGAACCTCCTGGAGATGTACAGCCTGAAGGACGAGATGGGCAACCTCAGGTGAGTGCAGGCAGGTCTTGGGGGGATGGGGGCAGTGGCACAGAACAACACAGGAGGTGGTACCAGGCACCTATTAGTGTGCTTCCCAGGATTTACTGAGGGCTGGTGTCAGGGCCTGGCCTACAAGGGTGGCTCTGACCCACCTCTAGTCACTCCTGCTCAGGACCCATGCTCCTGTACCCTGCAGGAAGTTGCTAGATTCTACCCCATCGCCAGTGGTCTTCTGCCACAATGACATCCAGGAAGGTAGGAGAAGGCATCTGAGTCTCCCAACCCAAGGTGAAGGGACCAGAGGGCTCTGGAGTGACCAGAACCCCACCCTATTCCCCCAGGGAACATCTTGCTGCTCTCAGAGCCTGAAAATGCTGACAGCCTCATGCTGGTGGACTTTGAGTACAGCAGTTATAACTACAGGTGAGGGTGGGAAGATGGCCTCCCTTGGATCTGTTCCCACAGAGCCCTGGGAAAACAACCAGTCCTTCATCTCTGCATCCTAGCTGCAGGGTATTTAGGGACCAAATGTCCACCTTACTCCCTCAGGGGCTTTGACATTGGGAACCATTTTTGTGAGTGGGTTTATGATTATACTCACGAGGAATGGCCTTTCTACAAAGCAAATCCTACAGACTATCCCACTCAGGAGCAGCAGGTATGTGTCCCAGAGGCTGGGAAGCAGGACCCATCCTGTGTGGGACGAGGGAGGTGAAGTCTGGAAGGAATGGCCAGAAGGGGTGTTAACTGGGAAATCCTCCACAATCTCCCCAATTCCTGACACTTGTCCACTGATCTTAGCTCCACTTTATTCGCCATTACCTGGCAGAGGTAAAGAAAGGTGAGACCATCTCCCGAGAGGAGCAGAGAAAACTGGAAGAAGATTTGCTAGTGGAGGCCAATCGGTGAGAAAGCAGAGGCAGGATGGGGGTAGGGCACGGGGCAGAGGAAAGAGGAACTGAGGAAGAAGCAGGCAGCTGCAGATAAGGTGCCAGCGCAGGGTGGAGGCAGAGATGGAAGGTGAGGTCTGAGGCTGCCGGGGAGGAACAGTTTGAGAGTGGGGAGAATCAGGATGAGGTAGGAGTTAGGACTGTGGGAGAGAAATTAGAGCTCTGGGGATTGACCAGTCTTGGGGAGGGGATCTGAGCAATGCCAGATGTGCTCTTGAATGCCCCTACTTTTCCTGCTCCCCTCCACCCTCAGGTATGCTCTGGCATCCCATTTCTTCTGGGGTCTGTGGTCTATCCTCCAGGCATCCATGTCCACCATAGAATTTGGTTACTTGGTAAGCAACCCAGAGGGTGGGCATGCTAGGTGAGGGCTGGGGGCAGCAGGGCCCACATGTCCTCCAGAAAATCTGGGCATACCCAGGTGGTTGTGGGCAGACCCAGGTGGGTGTAGGATGTTGGTCCCAAGCCTGCTTGCCACCGTGTGGGGTTTGTTTCCTTCCCTAGGAGTACGCCCAGTCTCGGTTCCAGTTCTACTTCCAGCAGAAGGGACAGCTGACCAGCTTCCACCCCTCATCTTGACACTCCACTCTCCCACTCCTGGGATTTCTCCTGAAGCCTCCAGGGCAGGACCTTGGAGGGAGGGACAAAGAGCAGGAGGCCCTGGGGACTGGGCTGAGCCCCCAACTGAGACTGGGGTTGAGGAGGCTTGACCTCTCCCAACCAAGTTTAAGTAGGTCCTCATGGTGCACAGGAGGGGAACCCCTGGGCTGTATATCTTAAGACAATAAAGGAACTTCTGCATTCACACCCTGGCCTGGCCATGCTCAGAGGCAGCAGAAAGTACCAAACAGGAATACACACAGACCGACTAAGTGCCCACTGCTCTGTTCAGTGCTCTGAGCTGCAAAGTAGCTTAGGGGCCCCTCTACCAATCGGGTACCCCATCCCTCTCCCTTCCCCTGGCGGCCTTGGTGGGGGAGGGGAGGGCAGTAGAGCGATGGGGGTACAAAGAGGGCCCTGTGGTGGGGCTGCCAGTCCTGAGCACCGGAGGTCCGGGAACAGGCAGCCCAGCTGACACGTGGGTGACCTTTTCCCTACATTCGGCTATTTTTAGCTCTAATGCCACTATCCTCACGTGAGACCCTTACCCGCCCCCTCCC